TGGGACTCTGCCCTTTAGAGATGATTTAAAAAAAAACTTGGTTGCCTCTACCAAGTCCTTCATGAACCACAATTTCTAGGTATAGTTTTTTTTTTTTTTTATGGAATAGGCTGCTTCCCTTGTTTCCACCCACTGAAATTACTACCTGCTATTGATGATTACATCACATTCACTTTGTGGGTGGAAGCCTGGAAACTGAAAAGCTGGTAAACATCTCATTTCACATAGCTGGGAAATGAGATATGGATCCCCAAGTGTTAACTACAGTTTTACACACCATACATGTAATCCCCACCATACATCAAGAGATGCTTATAAATAATGCAGCTACACTCAAAAGTAACCTACAGGCTTACCAACAGAAGTGCTTAAAAAAAAACAATTGCACATCACTTCCTATGAAGTCAGATGACGTTTAGGAAAACTACAAAAAGATAATACTTCTATTAGGAAAGGCTGAAGTGGTCACTAACTACTCGGAACACTACTCTGATTCATTAGCTGCTCTCATCAAATTAAAATCTGGGGCAAAGCCTTCCCTCCACCCATCAGGAATTTGAACAGTCCATTTCTATGATTATTCCAGGTACCTAGTATATTCTACGTGTGGTATAATCCAGTACCAGGCTAGCAGCTCCAAGAAGAGCAGGATCTGCTAGATTTGAGACCACCACATCCACCGTTTTAACAGAGGACAAAGCCTGTCGATTTATCACGTCTTTGACAGCATTAACATAGTGGTTAGCTAGAACTCCAGAAAGGATCACAAGAGAGGGGTTCACAGTGTGTAGAATGTTCACCACTCCGAGGCCTAATGCAGTCCCAGCTGAAAAGATAAAGTAAAAAGAAATTAAGTATAATACTCAAAGCAGTTCTGGCATCAGTAGTTGAAATAGGTCTGGTAGCAGTAAATAACACTGTCAGGAAAGTGTTCTGTTCAATAGGGCAGAATTTTATGTTATCAGACAGTATCAGTTTGCCATTAATTTTTATTTTCCAAAGTAAAAAGAAAAAAAAAAAAGGGCCAGTTTTTTTTTTTTTTTTTTTGCACAATAATGCATTAATCAATGATATGGATGTGAAATACAGAATGATACATTAATCGTGCTCATAAGCAAAGCAAAACCAGGAAAGCCTTACTTTCTACCATCTTAATTCTTATCAGCTACATGTGAGGGAGAGGAGTCTGTTTCAAGCTAATAAAACACTAAAATACCTTGTGTAAAGCAATACATAAATTGTCTTTGCTAGCTAAGACTACCCATTCACTTGCCTACAATTTATGTCCCCAAATCTTCCAATATGAGAATGTCGACGCTTTACTTTTTTTTAAACTGATCTTTGCAGAAGCTTTTAATGTTGTTTATTGGAACAGATACCTTGAATGTACACTTCTGCTGACATTTCCTCCAGCATTTATACTTGAAATTTCTTTACCATTAGTAATTTTAATATAGGACGTTCTTCAATGTGTAGGGTGTGTCTGTGGTGTTGCAGAGCACTACTACTTCTGTATCCCCAAAAATATAATCATGGGAGTGTTCCACCCTTTGGGCTATGTTCTTACCTGTTCTGAGAATGCTCTCTGCTTTGGCATTCCCAAGCTTAGCTGCTTGAATAAGATGTGCAGCGCTAACTGTCTCCTCCTTCTTCATTGACATTCCTTCTACTAAAAGCAGATCATCTGAAAAGGAGGAGAGAAAGCCAAGAGCAAAACATGGTGATGTGGCAAGTCAAGAAAGAGACGGTGAAAAACCAGGCAATTCAAGTCTTTACATCTCTTTTACTTGCATAATGAATCCTAAACAATCTGCACAACCCTGAGTTTAGCCAAAGTAATCATACCCATATTATTCAGGGAACTACTTGCAGAAGCAGGGAATCAAACTCAAACAGTTATAGTGTGGTAATTCACTAGTCTTGTCAGGCCCAGAAGTTAATAAAATACAAATGTTCTCAAATATTTAAGACTGAGAAGCTGTTGCTGAAAGACAATCACTGTGAAACCAAACATCACAGAATGTCTCTCCGATTACCTTACAGAGTGGTTAAGAAGGAGAGTCTAAACTCTACTCTGTGCTTCTGGTAGTTTTGAGACCAGTGGTTCCAGATGTTCTTGGCCACCGAAAAATACTGCTATGCAGGTTACCAGTGCACCTACTCTTGTTTCCTCAGAAAAAGAGGGCAGGTCTACCTTTAAAAAACTTCTTCCTACCCTGCATTTCAAAAGTAAAGTGAACAGATACCATCGTGCAGTTTCTTGGCTTCTCTCTGTAATGCTATTCCTGAGGCATATGCTTCGATACATCCTTGGCTACCACACAGGCACTCTGGTCCATCCAAAGATACGACAATATGCCCAAGCTCAGCGGCACAGAAAGAACTGCCATGGATCAGTTCATGCTGATGAACGATTCCACCTCCGATTCCTGCAAAGGCATGGAAACTTACATAGTTAGAAAAAGCACAAACACCTGCCCTGCCCCACAGCAGTTTTTAGAGGCCCCAGTTCTGCAGGACACTGGTATTACCTTATTCTAATACAGACAAGATAAAATAATTTGCATCAGTGATGATCTACACTGGTTATTAAAAGAATTCCACTTGACATGCCTAATAAAAGCGAGCTCACAGTTCCCTCCTATTCATATATGTATCAAAATTATATATAATGCTTACCTTTTCTTGAAAAGCCTATGGATGGTACTGAACTATGACAGATCTTCTAAGCTTGTGAGTCATGCTCTTTACGCAGAAAACTATCAAGTGGCCTTAAAATTTTGCACTTCAGAAAAGAAGTAATTTTAATCCTGTACTGAGGCAGTTAAACCTGTGTGCTAAAGAGCCAGGACACTAAAATCTGCAGGCCTCTGCTGCCCTTTCTCAAACTGTGTGTGTAGATTGATCAGGTAGGTATTACTGCCACCATCTGCTTAACAAATGAGAAAAGTTACCCCACATTTGCATCTGAGATACACTAAGCATCATCTCTCATACTTAGTTGCTTATATTCTAGATTTCCTGATCTGAGTTGTATTTCTGGAAGAGAATTAAGCTATAAAGCTGAAAAAATGCAAAGTTATTCCAGGTGAAGTTGCCTAGATTTTCCTTCCTTGCCTGCATAGCTTTATCAGGCAGGACTTCTTTTATCAAGAAGCTTAAACTATGGAATAGGTTTTATTTGCCTGAATAAAAAGTACCCTAAAAGACACAAATAAGAGTAGCAAAAGGATTTTTGGTTTAAGAACCTAAAATATTAGGGTTTCCTAGGCACAGTGGTAGTGTTTACACTTTTAAGATCAGCTGAGCTTCTAAGTGATGGTGCTGGACTTTGGGTTTCACTGAACTATAACACACTCACCTGTACCGGTAATGAGTGTTACAAAATTTTCTACTCCTTTTCCATGACCAAATTTCCTCTCTGCTAGAGCAGCACAGTTTCCATCATTGTCCACCCAGACTGGCAGGTGCAGAGCATCAGATATGGGAGTTCTGAGATCCACGGAGCTCCACTCCTGAATGAGTTTCGTAGAGTGAAGCACAATTCCTTCTCGGGGGTTTACACGTCCACCTGTGGAAATACCTAAGTCCCAGAAACACATAGTTGTGTTTCTTGTTAGTCATGTATGAAAGATATAATAGCACACTGCACAAAATAAATTACTCAAATCCTGAAACATTACTAATGTCCTGAAGTCTGCTGTAACTCTTAAGGTTTAGAATGACTGAAAACAATCACTGGACTTAGAGTAGTGATTTCTACTTAAAAACACAATGTTTTTGTGAAGAATCAAATCTGTTCAGAGGTTTGTCTACTGAACAAAATTAATAACCAGTAACAGGCGCTATTAGCCAAATTAGTTTTCCCTAATTAGAGAGGCTTCCAAAGCTGATAGACTCTCTTGTGACCTTTGAAAGTAGGGCACTGTTATGGAGGTATTTAGCTCTAGACAATGATGTTTGAACATTTTATTGTAGTGCTGCTCCTCTGTAGATGGTTCCAGGGTTAACGTTATAATGGAAAGCAGCCACAAAACTTCTAAGACAAGCAGCTGAATCGAACATTAAAGCTGTAAGAAAGATCTAATTTAAAGGTCTAACGTTTCTTCTTATGGCTTTGTGTTCAGAACGTTGTTTTTAAAGAATACAGCATCTTCAGATTAACTTTTCTTGCGTGATTCAAGTAAGTTTTGGTCTGGAACAAACCACTTTTCTCACAGGGTATTTCTCAGTTAAAATGAAGATTCTATGTTCTCCTTAAAAATCCAGGACACATTAATCAAGACCTTAATAAATAAGTGTAACATGTAAGGCCAAACCTCACAGCCACCATTACGTTGAAGAAGACCTGTCTGGTATAAAACAGCTTAATGTGGAACTCTACTGCAAGTGCAAGCAAACTGGAAGTCAGCAAAAAGGCTGCTTTTGCCTCTCTTAGCTGCAAATTTATTCCTAATATTCTATCCATTTTAGTCTGCCCTAGCATGACTGAGGACTCTGCTGCACAGTTGATCCAAGCCCTGATGAAAGGCTGACAGATGGTAGGAGAAACTCGACTCAGCTGCAGTTGTTTCAAGAGCTGTTTTGATATACATCTGATTCACAATTCCAAGACAGCAGGGAGCTTCAAAATCCATAAAATCTATGTACCTCACATTTTGGATATAGTTTACTATAACTTAGCTGATTGTTTTCATGACTGTTACAAACTGGAGAAACCTCGGTCTTTATAGTCAGCTTCTCATTTCCACAGTCATTTTAAAAAGCTTGTTTAACATAATTTATGATTTAAGAGATTAAAGTACGAGAGATCTATTTTAGAAAGACGTTTCAAATTAAAGAGTAGTGATTTAATTTCATGTTGAAAAGATAAAGTTAGTATTTGTTAACTTACCTACTCCCAAAATTCTGCAGTTTACATTTACTGCTTCTGATGCAGCCTCTACACACATCTTTAGAATTAATTCCAGTCTGTCTTCATAGGTTTTAGGGTTCAGCTGGGTATACTTCTTAACTATTTCACCCTAGAAATTAAAAACAACAAAAGAAATGTTGTTTTCTAGAGAGATGTACTTCATGATGAAATGTCTCTTTAATTTAAATTACAGGTCAATTTGAAAATATAGAGCTATAACTTATCTCTTAAAAAAAAAAACCCAAAACAGATGCTATGCTTTAGATTTCAGGACTACAGGCAAGATACTTGACAGCTCTGGGGGCCAAGTTTACACGATAAGGCATGACATTCCACTCCTGTAATCAACCTCCCCTGTCTGAAATTAAATACACATTTTAAGGAACACAAAGCTTGTATAAGGAAATATCACCAGAGCTAGCTACTGGAACTGTTGTTGGGCATAAACTGTGATACAGCAACCCCCTTAAACTCAACACTAAAGTGTTAAAAAATAAAAAGAGTAGCAATTCCTAAAAAGGAGAGAAAAAACATAGTGCATTACAAATAAAATATTTCCACTTTGACTACATAAAAGGTTTATGTGGTGTCACAGACACTCCTATTTTACCAGGAAAAGTCAGACAGAGAGAAATGCTAAAAATTTCAAGGCAAAATTTACAATTCTTTCATAAATAACTTTCCTTCTAAGCAATCATACTTCTGAGTCACTTGTAGTAGTTCTGGAGTACCACCTACTGTGATATGTCATAGAATGACAGAACAGTTTTGGGTTGGAAGGGGCCTCAAAGCTCATCTAGCTCCGAGCCCCATGCCGTGGGCAGGGACACCTTCTACCAGACCAGGTTGCTCAAAGCCCCATCCAAACCTGGCCTTGGACACTCCCAGGAACAGGGCATCCACAGCGCTCCTGGAACAGCTGTGCCAGTGCCTCACCACTCTCACAGTGAGTGATTTTTTCCTAATATCTAATCTAAACCCACTCTCCTTCAGTTTAAAGCCATTACCCCTTGTCCTGTCAGTACATGCCCTCGTAGATACATCGGACAGGGTGGGGAGGATCCAGGAGGAAAGGATTATTTTTAACCCTAGGAGTCGTGCAGTGGTAATAAAAGTATTCATTATGCATGCCTATAAGAAACTAATCTCAATGCAATGTTCATCTTGCAGGATTAAGCCAGGGATCTGCAGAAGGTACACTGCTTAATCATGTCACCCTCCCCGTTATATCCCCTGTACAAGGTATCTGAGTGAACTGCACTAAATTAACGCAGCTAAGCAAAGAGGAGTAACAAACATGGCTGAGTTACTGTTGCCGAAAGAACTGTCAATGGATTTGAGTATTAGATGCCACCCTCTCAGCATCACATGAGCAAGAGATTTTGGGGATTTTGTATGCTTAGTTTCCTCTTCACTTTCAGTTTGGAAGAGGAGGGAAATCAGAGGAAGTTGCTTTGGAAGACAAGGCTGCAGCAAACATTATTAGAAGACACAACAGCTTTTAAAAGGTTATTTGTGAGAATTAGCTCTCAGATTCTGCCATTTGCTGTTGAATGTCTACATGTGTTACGTAAACTTTGACAGTCTGATCCCTTTCCCTCTGATTTGCTAGCATTTCAGCTTTCATAAATGCCACCTCAAACCACACTCTGCAAAGTGGACAGAATTTTTTAAAATTAATTTTCTTCCAGGCTGTGTTGACAGAAAATGTGTCAATTTTACTTCTAAAAGAATGACACTTTTAAAAGTTGTCTTTAAGACCCTGAAGACCTGTCAGACGTCTTTTAAGTGAATGCGAAAATCCTGGACTGTATCGGGGCACTTTATATAACCCTTCATCTTTCTGCAGGCATTTTACTTTGCCCTCTGGGTAACTACATCCAAGCGATGTAGTCATCTGGAAGTATGTAGTGTAATGGTAGGACTAACTGTCCAATACTGCTGAGAATAAAAGCTTAAGACTTCTCGTCATGAATTTTATTCACATCTGTGAAGGGCTGCAGAGTTCAGTAAATTACTTTGCTTGTCCCTGCTCAAAATGGTTCTGTGTATCCATTACGTGGCTGTGTAAGGCAGTGGGGAAGTAAAAATTACACATCTGAAAGTTGTCCTGTTCTTCAATGGCTGTAGTCCATCCACAGAGAGAAGGCAGCTATGACCTCGCATCAGCAAACAGGCTTTGCTGGTTTAACATCAGTCTTAGAAGAGCAAACCAGAAGACAAATTGCATGAAGACTGCATGAGAGGGGCAACAAATGAGGAGGAAAAAAAATATCTTCTTTATCCCTCAACAATGGAAGTCAGTAGGCCTACTTTGTTTTGGAGCTCTTTTGCATCATAAGCCCATATCCTCACTGAGGGAACAGAACAGCAAAGCCCAGTGGAGTTTGAAGAATATCTAGAAACACAAAATTTACCTTCATACTGACAATTGCTACTCGGAGGTTTGTTCCACCTAGATCCACAGCCAGAGCACTCTGTGTCTCTAGAATATGGTCAATATCTTGAGAGATATTATCTTTGACAGGAGGAAAACAGAATTTCTTTTGCAATGGTTCTTTGAGGTCAATGGATTTAAGGAACTTCAAGATCCTTGGAACAGCATTACCATCTCCATATATTTTTGAGCTGTAATATATATATAAAAAAATCCATGTTATTGGAAGTAACATTGCAATCTGTAAAATTCTTTACATGACAGAAGACTAACACTGCGTCATTACAAAATTATGCTCTGGCTACTGTGACAATACTGCAGCTCACACTACTCAAATATGCCACAAGATATGGTATAGAGTGATACTGAAGATCACACAATAGATTGTGCAAGTCTGGCACTAGCTCCATTTTGGAATACGAAACCGGAACGTAGAAAACTGGAAGTTAATGATGCCAAAAAACCCTGTAAAAATATGAGTTGATGAAGGAACCCGCATCATAAAGCAAAATTACAACATAAAAATTACAGACAGTTTATGTATGTGCTGCAGGCCCAAAACAAGATGTACTTATCACACAGATAACAACTACATAGTAATAAACCGTACATTCATGTCAGCTTTCAACATGTACATCTGTTTCTAAAATATCATCATACATGCTATCAGACATTTGGTATTACAGAATTAAGCTCTGCTGCTCTATTTAGATTCTTAAGAAATATACTTTTGATTCTTGTCCTTAGTTGGACAAGAAGTTGTAAACTCCTGAAGTTTACAAGAATTTATACACTTAAAAATGAGGATCCATACTGTAGGGCTGAAGGGTAAGGAAAAGCATACTGCTTTAATTCTGCAGCTTCCCTGGAAGCCTGCAGTCAAGATTCTCTACCATGCCTGAGGTCAATTCGGCTATGAAGTACTGTGTCACAGCATCAAAGAACATTAAAGGTGGAAAGGGATCTATGGAGATCATCTAGGCCAACCCCCACGCCAAGGCTGGGGGATGTGTTACCTACCTAGAGCAGGTAACACATCTAGGTGGGATTTTAATGTCTCCAGAGAGGGAGACCCCATGAATTAGCCTGTTCCAGTGCTCTGCCACCCTCCATGTAAAGAAGTTCTTCCTCATGTTGAGGTGACACTTAAGTTTTGTTTTATGGCCTTTGCACCTTGTCCTGTTGCTGGGCACCACCAGAAAGTCTGGCACCATCCTCTTGACACCCACCTTTGAGGTATTTATATGTATTGATGAGATCCCCTCTCAGGCTTCTGTTCTTTAGACAGGCCCAGGTCCCACAGTCACTCCTCATAAGAGAGATTCTCCAGTCCCTATTCATCTTTGTGGACCTCTGCTGGAACCTCTCCAGTAGCTCCTTGTCTTTCTTGAACTGAGGAGCAGTGGACAGAGCACTCCAGATGTGACCTTACTTGGGTAGAGGGGGAGGATCATCTCCCTTGACCTGCTGGACATACTCTTTCCAGTGCACCCCAGCATCCCACTGGCCCTCTTGGCTGCAAGGGCACACTGCCAGCTCATGGTCACCTTGTCATCCACTACGACTCCCACGTCCTCCTCAGCAGAGCTGCTCTCTAGTAGGTCTTACCCCAACCTGTCCCAGTACTTGGGGTTATTCCTCCCCAGGTGTAGAAACTACACTTGCCCTTGCTGAACCTCATTAGGTTTCTCCTCACCCAACTCTCCAGCCCATCATGGTCCCACTGAATGGCAGCACAGCCTTCAGGTGTTTCAGCCACTCTCCCAGTTTCATCTCATCAGCAACCTTGCTGAGGGTACAGTCCACCCCTACACTGATACACAAGTTGAGTAAGACTGAAGCCAATACTGATTCCTGGGAAACACCACTGACTACAGGCCTCCAACTGCATTCTGCTCCACTGATCACGACCCTCTGAGCTCTGCCATTCAGCCAGCTCTTGATCCACCTCACTGTCCTCTAACACACATTTCATACGCTTACCTATAATAGCTGTCAAAAGCCTTGCTGAAGTTGAGGTAGACAACATCCACTGCTCTCCCCTCATCCATGTCCTCATAAAGGCTATCAGATTGGTCAAGCCTAATTCCCCTTTGGTAAATCCATGCTGACTGCTCCCAGTGACCTCCTTTTTTTTCTACATCCATGACAACATTCCAGTCACGAGCTATCCCACCACGTCTCAGGAACTGCAATAGGATCATGGCCTATGACCCCACACAGATTTGCAGTTCTTGTTTATTGTCCGTGCTGCACTTGTATACATGCATTTGTATACAGGCACTTCATGGAAGATCAGGCACTGATCAGGCAACGGGGTTTGCTTGAAGGGGTGTAAGAGGATTCACCATTGCCATAAGCACTCTTCATGTGTTTAGCCCCATGATTCTTATTATATACACTGCTTGGTTTGACCTACTCCCCAGGAGGAAACAATGGCACAAGCCTTGCCACTTTGGACCCCATCTCTGAGTCCTTCAGTTTAAAGCCCATTTCACCAATGGTCTTCCTTGATCCTGCTCATTTTCTGGCTTGTGGCATCATCTGTACCCACATTAAAAAGTGTCCTTGAAGCACAAGTCAGACGTAGGCACACGGGATGTTCTCCTCCCACGCTGCTCCTGTGGAACAAGCTCTCTTAATCACGCTAAGTTAACATATGAAGTTTGTCCTCCTGACTTTCTGCTGGATGTTAAATTACCAGTTATATCAAAACGTCACGAGAAACACTTTGCTCTACAAATATGAATCTGCATACCAGACATTGCGCTGTGATTCAGAAACAAAATATAATTTGTAACCTCAGATTAGCGCGTTAAAATCACTCCAATCAAATACAGTGAACCACCTCAGGGCTAAATGCTTTTAACTCCCCTGCTTTAACATCCCCTCAGATGAATTAAGACAGTTGTACTCACCATGGATATTGCTTACCAAACTGAAGCTGTAGAGCATGCAGAATCTTATCCTGTGTATCAGCATCACGAACGTGAAGAACATTTTCACCTAGATGACAAAAGTCAACAAAATAGGACTGATCAGCTCCTCAAATTACATCAGAGTGTAAGAACTGCTTTAGAAATGAAAAAAGTAATTATCTTTCTTTCCTCTGACCAACACCAGATTAACACTGCTCTGTACCAATTATGTGCCTCCCCTTGCTCCCAATAAAGCAATGGTGACACCTGTGATACAATGTCCTGCATTACAAAACACTAGCAAGTGGAGTATGTGTCTTCCAGAGAACTCTATCATTAAAAAGGCACATATGGAAACAGGATAAATGGCTATTTGTGTCTTGTCTGTACACCTGAAATCTCACAATACAACTACTTCCTGAACTGGTGAAGAGTACTTGGGAAAGTAAAGAAACCCCTCAGAACCAGAAGGAAATCAGTCAAGGAAACATGTACCTGTTTCTCTTCCTGTCTGACGCGTCCCCAGGTTAATGACAGGTGTACCAAACGCTCCCACCTCTCTGACACCACAACTGCTGTTACCAATCATACAACCAGCATGAGCGACCAGCTGAATGAACTGGTCAAATGGGACATGCTTTACTGCCCGAAAATTGGGATGATGTTCAATCCCCTTCTTCCTCATCACGCGAACCATCTCTTTGCTTCCTGCAGAAAAACAAGGTAGAATGAATCATTCAAGTTCTACTTCTAAAATGGAAGTCCAGACACATAAAGGAGCAGTGGCTAGCCATTCACTCAGTTTCCAGCCCTGAGTAAATTTTTTGTTCTCTTTTTATTCTTACAGTGTAAGTTGCACAGCTAGGCACATGAGCCCACATTTGACCCAAAAATCCACTACAAAAGCCTCTTCATAGTTTGAAGTTAATTTAAGAGGCACTAATACTGCTCCTACGTGGCACATGGTTTCACTTCATTTTCCTTCCCACACCGAAAAGCTGAAATGTCCTCCAGCAACGTGGACAAGCAGCTGCAGCAGCTGCACACATGATGCTGACACCAGCCAGCTACTTCCATCTGGCTAGAGTGTCTAGGATAAAAACACCCTTTTCTGTGTCCCTCTGTCATGAAAGCATTCTACTCACCTGCATCCACATTAGGGAATAGAACAAGTGTTCTCTTGTTGAAGGAGATGAGTGCATCTAGTGTCAGCTCAAACATCTTTATGGAATGTTTAATGTCTGTGGTCACAGGATGCTGCAGAGCAACTATATAATCTCTGGTTTTGACATCTTCACCTGTCCAAATGGAGGCAAAGAAAACATTTTTTTTTAATTGGAATAGAATACCAAGAGGAAGGAAGGTCATACTTTTAAAAATACTGATGTGAAGCCCTGAAGAGTGAAGGCACTGAATGAGGTATCTAACACTTAAGTATCAATGCTACAATAAAACTCAAGGGAGTTACAGGGTGATCTACCCTGTTATTTGCCTCTCTAAGCAATATCTATCACATAACTTTATAGAGACCACTACCTAAACCTCAACAAACTGCTAACTTGCAAGCCTACTTCTAAAGCTTAGCAAGACTATACCAGGATCAAGGAATTGTTCTCACAGCAGTGTAAATCTGGAATAAATCCCGAAGCTGCTCTGGTTTTCTGTCAAATGGCCATCCTCAAGCAAAACTTCATTTCTGTTTCTTTAAAACAGTCATAGTTGTTTTAGTACACTTGACAGAAATTGATCTGCAAAACATACTGATCAAAAAAGACTCTGGCTTCCAACTACACAGGTTAGTATGCCCTATAGGAGGCTGCTTTGTTACAGATGAAAAGAAAACACAACCCCCCATTGTTTACAGGATTTGTAAGTCAATGAATATGAAACACCAAAAGCCTTTGGTGCATGTTGCCTTGTCACAGAGCATTTCTCAAAAAAAAGTTCGTAATATAAATTCTGTTTGATTTTTTTTAATAGTAGGCCTGAGCAGCTTTGATTCTATCTAAACACATCCTTTACACCAAAGTAGCTGTCTTTAAATTGTTCAGCTCAGAGAAATTACCCATTTAAGGAGTTACTTTTTTTGACTTGGCAAAAGGACCAGAGGTGTTCATTAGGACAGGTTTGGAGCTTTTCAGCTATACAAGGTAGATTACAGAACAAAAGAAAAACAAAATATAGAAAGAAAGAAATACCAGGTACTATTATAAAACATATTAGTTTTTTGGACTGCTAACCTAGTTACTGAGTCTGTCTAGTGTTTAAAGTCACAGGAAAAACATAAAAAGCACAATGCTTACCTAGCCACACGCGTATAATACTCATGTAGTCCTTGTTTTTGGCAGAGAGAAGTTTGTCATACGAGGGACAGCCCGCCAAGAGGATGCGGTCGTGGTCCTCACACATGGCTATCAGGTGCTGCTCTGCACTCCTTGTGCAGCACACGTGGTAATGGGCCAGCTTGGTTATGGCATGCCTGATGGAGTCATCGATGGTCCCACTGACCTCCCCACCCTCGATGTGGAGGATGCGGATGTTCATCAGGGCTGCAGACGTGGCCAGGGCCAAAGCGTCGAACCTGTCCCCGTGAACTATCATTATGTCAGGTTTCAGGCGGTTGAGGACATCTGGCAACTTGACCAGTGCAAGGCCCACTGACTCCACCATAGCTGCCTCATCCTCCCCTCTCACAATGGTGTGCAACCTCGTGTGAATATCGAAGTCATCTTGTTCAATCATGCGATAGGTATTGCTGAAGGTAAGAGAAAAAGGGCGAGAGTAAACACAGCCTGGTTTCACAGCAACACAGCCTGACAAAATAAATGCAAACTGGAACAGCGTCACTGGGGTTTGAAAAAAGGCTTGCTTATCACATCTCCTTCACTAAGAAAAATCAGGTTTTAAGACTTTTAACACAATTATTCTCATCCATGTGAAGATCCTCCCTCATATTCCAAGGATCAAGTTTTTCTGACACCTTTAATGAGCAGCTTGGCTGAACATGTTCTGGAAATCCTCAAAAATCAAACTCTTTGTTCACGTGTTTGCAGAGCCTTTCAAAGAACAGATGTGGCCCAATTTCCTTTCAGAAAAGGTATGTTTATCGACTTCACTGGAAATTGTATAAATACAACAGAGATGATGCAAAGCTGAGGCTTGTATGCTCAAGGAAAAAACATCCTGCAGCTAGGATATATTATTCACATTCTGTATTTGAGCTGTATCAAAGACTTCTGCATTCACAGACTTGAGCAACCTCTGCACAAAGCCTTAAAATCAAAGGTAACAGGCTTTCACACCAAAGAAAAAAAACTCTTCCACACATACTACCAGCTTTAGTCCAGAAAAAGAAAGTTAAAGCATTCCTTGAACACTGAGAATTATTATTGTTACAGTTATGTATGTGAAATAGAAGAGATCACAAATCTGTATAAAATTACCTGTTTACAACATACACTAAAACTGAGCTTAGTCTGCACACTTACCGGAATTCCTGTCTGGACTGTGAGAGAAAAAACACAGAAGTTTTCCCATTTTGTTTTCAATCCATCTGATACTCACTGTCTTATTCAAAGGATTACATTTTAAAACTGATTTAAACTGGATTAAATTTTCATTATATCTAATCTTCTACTCATAATCTGTAAATTAGTATCTCACAATCTGCAAGCTGAGCTGAGACAGCAAAGCCCATAAAAGTGCTCTAACTCAGGTAAGGAAGTGATCCTCATTCTGCATTAACTAAAGGAAACCCTACCCATTTATCTATTTGATTCTGCTCACTGCTGTAACACACAGGATATATTGCCTACAAGTAACTTGTCAAGCAATTTGTATTTCTTTTTTTTTCTTTTTTTTTTTTTTAAAGGCAAATCCTTTTGGTTTTACTGAGTGAAGTGGATCAGATTTTTATAGCATAAACTGCATAATATTTCCAACTCCACTTACAAATACCCTCCATATACCTGCCCTTTTCCCTATTATCTCAAAAAAACATTCTTTTATATCAAAAAAACCTTTCTTTTCTTTGCTTCTATATTCTTTGCCTTTTGAAAAGGCAAAATCTAGGGAAAAAAAATGTGCATTTCTGGTGGTTTTGTCTCTTTTCCTATCCTCCACACATTTCAATAAAAACATTTCACAGGGTCACTGTCATTTGACTTCTGCTGCTGTTGACTGTCCTACTCACATCCCTACAACACATATCCCTAGGATTCCCCAGATTAAGGATTGCAGGGCTAGGCCCTGAAGAAAAACCCAAGCAATACCTGGGTTTTAGGATACTTATCACAAAGCAACTAACAGCAACATCATTTGTCAGGTCAAAATCTCTATTGATTGCTTTGGGCACTACAAACCATTCATAACAAAAACAACTGTTAAACACCTTGGAGCTGGGAAGGAAATATTTCATATTATTTTGCCCAAGTCTTGTAGACAGCAAAGGATTGTGGACTACAGAAAAATCAGGGCAATGTTTCTCCTCTTTAGCAAATGAAATGGGATTAGTGTATTACTCTATTTCTCCAATCAGAGAGGATGCAATACAACAAGCTAAGCTGTCAAGAAGTTTGACTGGTTTTTTTCTTGCCTGTTTTTTTTTTTTGAATCAGGTTAGTTTTGCGATCTTGAATTCACCTTGCCATGTTATTGGATGGAAACAGTGCCGAGGACAAAGCAAGGAACCGAGCACTATAATGCGCAGAAAGAGAACTGTCACCAGTGGAACTCTGTCTTAGCAGTTTGAGATAATATAACTTCCTCTCATCCTAACTTACAAAATGCTAAAATTTCTCATTGGAAAGACCAAAAAGTGTCTTTGGTTGAAGGCATGCTTATAAATTTCCAGAAGTTCAGAAACGCTGATGTGCTGCAGACTTTAAGCTGAAGTCTGATTTTGTCTTGCAAAGTGTTTTCCTATCTCTTCCACTTACTGAGCCCCGTCTGGCAAATGCAGCCTGAGGAAAACCAACCACAATCCCAGCAAGAATATGCATGCCATTCCTTCTACCCTTTCAGCTAGGATGTGGGAGATCCCTTCCAAAGGAAGGAATTTAGACCAAGACATTTCATTCTCCCAAGGAGGTGATCTGACTGCTTACTGATAAAGTGTTATGGAGGGGGACCCTAATCTTCCCTGCCTGACCATACCTAATACATCTGTCAGTTGTTCATCCTGTCAGAAAGAGACAACCACCCTTTCCTACCTCCACAGTCCTGGGAGAGGGAATTAAGTGTTCCCCTGGGATATGGAATACGTACTTTGTCCAGTAACTGTGCAAAGCATGCAAAATAACTATGAGCTGCAACTCAACAAAATGACTCAGGAGTATCTTTTCTCTGTGAAAACTGAAGAGCTGTAGCACATTTTCATTCGATATATCACCAGATTCTTAGGGAAAAATGAAAGAATTGAGTTTCTCACTTCATACAGTCTGTGATCCTGCAGAAGACTTCAATTATAGCATTTAGAGAAAACTTTCCAAAATTCCAAGACTGGTTGAAAAAAAATCACAGAAATATGCAATCTCAGAAGGAGCTGCAAAATAAAATGGACTCTGAAAAGAAATTTTAGAACTAACAATGCCAAGATTTTTTTTTACCTAACATTCACGGTATAATTGTTAATGCCCCAGGAACAGACTGGTAGAAAGATAAAAATTCACCTTACCCATAATCATCAATCAGGTGGGAACCAAGCACTACGACATCAAGCTCAAAAAACTGTGGTTCTGCCTTAATACCAAACATAATGGGAGCTAATTTTGAATAATCCGCACGGTTGCAAGTAGCAACACAAACACGAAGTTTGTGGTTGTTTCCATTCTTCTCCATGACTTCCTTCTGTTTCTGTTTTGAAAGATTCTTGAAGTACACTTCCTGGTATAACAGAGAAAGAAAAGTGTGGCATTAGTGTCATTTACTTGCAGGAAATGGCACACTTCATGAACAGTATACACACGTACAGTTCAGAACTGTGGACACATAGGAACAGACGTGGACACACTGATAACGGACAATTAATACCTTAAAATATGTATCATCAGAAAATTTTAGAAAATAACAGGCTGTGTTTTTTAGTTAAAACTCATTATCTCTATTTCTATAAATAATATATAAAAATTCTGTATAAATCGCATTTAAGTATTATGAAGTTCAGCTGTAATTAAACAGCAATTTTCCCTGTTCAGATGGAAACCTCTAAGCAGAAAAACTACTGTGCCTTAGTATGCAAGAAAAAAATCTCATATTCCAAAACCACAGAATGGAACAAACTGCTCAGATGCATCCACTGGGAGATTCCATGAATAAAAAAGTGAAAGTTTTTGACTGAGTTGGTTTTCATGTCTTTGTATTTTGGTCAGGTAAGGCAAGTTAAACATTGACTTCTAAACCCTTACAAACTGTTTTGTAGGCCAAAGTACATTAAGATATTCAATAATACAGCACTGGGTTACAATAAACCTGTTAAAAAAGGACATAGCAATATATATATATATATATATATATATATATATATATATATATATATATATATATATAAAAAATACATATATATATGATACCCCAAATAACCCCAAATTTCCTCTCCCTGCAAACAGAAATTACGAAGGTGTTAGGAAAAGTTTATCAGATCAAAAATTTATAAGGTGGTGGGATTTTTTTTCTTTTTTTTCTTTTGTTCTCCTTTCAAACATAACTGTATTTTAAGTTAGTTTCATCCTTTTGGTATGAAATCTAATGTTATGTCAGATTTTTACTCCACTTAAATGGCAAATAAACTTCCTCCAGATTAATGCACAAGGGTTGCTTATCTCTGACTCAGAGCAGTATCAGGTTTTGTCAGCTAGGGAAGCTCTTTCTGAGCAGTTGCTACACAAGCATGACAATACATACATGACAATACTAAAAGGAGCAATTTTTGTATTGTCATGTATGTATTGTCATTTCATACTCCTTTTAGACTACATTTAGATTTTTTTCAGTAAAGTTCTAAAAGAAAGGCTACTGTGAAATCTCACTCTTCAGAAACTTGTGAAATTCAGTGATTTTTCAAGATTTCCCTATTTTTAAGCCAGACTAGTTTAGGTTTTATCACCCACGATGAGAAACAATGCTTTGGTATAATAGTAATGTTAGGGTGATCAGAAAACTATGCCAGGTTGTCAAAGGTAAAAAATATTCCTAATCTCCACTTACAATCCATTATGGCTCTACAAAACTGCGACTGGTTGTCATGTTTTTTCTAGTTAAACTCCAAAAACGCTGATTCCTGAACAAGTGGTTTAAGCTGGCTTTCAGAATGAAACTGAGGTGACAAAAAAGCCAAAGATGACTCCCATGACTAAGCCCGTGAGAAATGGCATTTACTTCAACAAAGCAGCCATGGCTACTCCATACAACTTCAGCCAAACTGATACAGCCTGGAATTTCAGCTTCTGATGACTATGATGACTAATTAGGCTGAGTTCTATGGACTCTGCCATAGAGCAATAAATATTATTTGGTTTATGTCAAGCCCCTTCATTGGAATTTACATTTGAATGTTATGTCAACAGCAGTATGTTAATTACTGTTTTACCCTTCCAAAGGATCGGACAATAATCCTTCAGGAAACTTAATTATTTATTCATGCTGAAAATATCTGCAGCTACGTGCATATATGATAGCTGTTTTGATTTAATCTTGCCTTCTTTTAGTCCAACATGCTTGAAATATTTTAATGTATGAAAGAAATTCAGTAACTTGCGTTGAAAATGGAGGGAGAGTACCTTGTAGGATTTTAGATGCTGTATAAACGTGAGTCAGAGAGTGTGTTATCCTGTGTCACTGAAATCTCAAATCACATTAGCCAGACTCAGGTATAACAGAAGCACTGCTTTTCCTCATTTCTAAAACAACTTCTTCCTGAAGCTGGTTCTGAGCAGGACATCCTGTCATTATATATGTAAAAGCAGCCACTAATTCAAATAAAATCATGTTCAAGATGCGAAGGCCACTTCTGATACATTTATAAGCTTGTCTTTGAAACTGCATGAACAATATTAGCAAGCAAACCTCTCACAAGACCTTTCAAGTCAGTCACTGCTGCATACCTATTCTCTGCTGTATAAACTGAGAAGCTAAAGTAAAAGGGCACAGAATAAGGAAGGGACAAAGCAAAATGACCCAGAGTTTGCTTATTGCAAATTACCTGCCTGAGCTAGGACCATCATGTCCCCTCGGACAAAGCAGTTATCTTTTCATTTATGCAATGAAGGCTTTTAAGAAGCAGAAAAATTTCTGTCCTCCTTTATTTTCAAGCATTGCCTCAATTCTAGAACCCTTCACTCTAAAGCCAGAAAATACCATATCCTAAAACAGTAAGTCTGTTAAGTTGTAAAACAAAGTATATCTCACGTTGCACCACACCTACAGATCCAACAGAACTGAATCATGAGACCACACATCTTTCCAGCCACACAGATCACATTCAATTACAGTTGGTACTGGCTGCAATAATGGTCTCTTGAAATAATTTTGGAGGTAGATGTGGAGACACTTCAAATACATATGAATTGACTGGAATCAAAAGCAATTCCTGGTGTTTGTGCATTTCAAATTCTGCTAAATTACACTTTCAGGAAGCCCCAAAGTAGAATTATTTTTAGTACAGCCTTATAACTCTGTACCACAATAGTTCCAAAAAGCTGCCAAGCAAGCCATGCACTGCCCTTGGTGCAGCTTTTCTATTGCTGTTCCTTTTAAACACCTGGTTACCTGAAGAACCACAATATTTACCCTAGCAATAGGGAGGTAACAATGTAATGTAAGTGTTAACTCCATGTGGAAATTTACCACTAATTAAACCAGTCTACTGCTTTTCAGGTTAAGCTGGACGTTTTCTAAAGAAACATGTGATGCATTGCTACATCACAGTTCAACAACACATATAATTCTATTCTGGCTCTGACCTATTCTGAACATAATGCAAAAATTATTCTGTATTTTCAGAGAGCATTCTCTGTCAAAAAGTAATGACGAAATCCCTTCAGCCATTAATAGTAAATTCCTTCAGGAAGAGCTGAAATATCCTAGCTACATAATTTTGTTACCACTATAGTTTAGAATTTATTAACACCGTCTGCAGGCAAATCATCTATTTTTAGAACTGTTCACAAAAATTACTTGAAACAATTAATCATTACAGTTGCCTCTGAGTTTCCAGGTGTTTGATGATACACTGAATTTGATCCTCACAGCATTCTCTAGTCTGGGGAACTTTCTCTTCCAAGATCTACCTCTTCCATTTTGCAGGGACTAACAACCTTTAGCAGAAAGGAAATGAAATAAAACAGTGCTCCATGAAGGACTACTTGAAGTAATTAATCTCTATGCCTTTGGTTTACTGCTCTTCCATATCCCATCCTAAGGCTTTTAGGGTATTAGAGGTTCAAGGACTTTTTGAGATTGGGAAATTCTGGGCCAGACTTTAAAGCAACCAAGGGAGCTACTATTTCTGGTAGTAGTTTGAAGTGCATTAGATACACATTAATCAGTGTTTCATTAACAAATGACACCATGAGTATATTCTACATTTGCACCTCTGAAGTGATGTTTTTCGCTCTCACAGTCTCTACACTCTGCATATGCCAGTGTCTTTGGGGTCATTTCATCTTCCCACTTGCTTCGCTGTGTGGCAAGCAAACAGGATATTCTGCCTCAAACTCCTTGCACCAGCATTTGTATTCCCATCACCCTTCTTGGAGGCATCAGTTCTACACTGCCTGGGTGCACACACACCCCAGGCCTGCTCCTGCATCCCAGTGCAGGTGACTACACACCCTTCAGACACCCTCAAACACCTCTGCGTGGGTGGGAGAGCATTTACTGCCCTGTGCATGTGTCAGGGCAAGAAACCCTTCACGGATGGGATTGACCTCTTCACCGGGCCCCTTCCTGGTGTGAGGGATCACCCCCATGTGCTTCTCCAGCGTATCGATACGCTTGGAATCATAGAATATTCTGAGTTGGAAGAGACCCCCAAGGATCATCAAGTCCAACCCTTAGCCCTGCACCTCCAAGAGTCACACCATGTGCCTGAGAGCGCTGCCCAAACAACTCCTCGAACTCTGCCAGGCTTGGTGCCGTGACCACTTCCCCGTGGAGCCCGTTCCAGTGCCCAGCCACCCGTATGGACGAAGAACATTTTCCCAACATCCAACCTAAACCTCCACTGCCACAGCTTAAGGCCACTCCCTTGCTACCCACGTGCAGGATCTGCCCTGGAACTCCCTCCCTCCCGCATCCCTCGCAGCCTGGGCAAATCCACGCCCGACACCCCGGACACCGCCCGTGCGCACCCTCCCACGGCAGGGATTGCGGAATCCCGCACCCCTGGGACACGCACCTTCCCACCGCAGGGACTGTCCCGCACCCCTGGGACACGCACCTTCCCACGACAGGGATTGCGGAATCCCGCACCCCTGCGACACGCACATTCCCACCGCAGGGACTGCGGAATCCCGCACTCCTGCGACACGCACATTCCCACCGCAGGGACTGTCCCGCACCGCTGGGACACGCACCCGCCCCCCGCCACAGACCGGCCCCAGCCCCCCGCCCGCTCCCTGCCGCAGCCAGGCGCATGCGCTGCCGGCGGGGCACTTCCATCCCGCTCCCGATCCCGCTCCCGCCGCCCTGCCCCGCCGCTCCCTCCCGGCCCCCGCTCGCTCTCCGGCACGGCCCGCATCGGCTGCGCCGCCCCGGCCCCTCCGGGGTCTCGCAGAGTTCCCGCTTCCCGGTCACCTTTCCCCGCGCCGAGCCCGCAGGAAGACCCGCCTCGGCAGGAAGTGAGGAGCGGCTTCCCGCGGGCCGCGCCCCTCCCGCGGCGGGCCGGGGTCCGCTCGGCGGGGCCGGCCCCGCGTCCCCCTCTGCGGCCGGCTGGGCCTGCCGGGCGGGAGCCGCGGAGCTGCCCGTGGGGTCGCATGCGGGCTTGCCTGCAGAGAATCACAGAATCAATTGACCGCCGAGATCACCCAGTCCCAACCTGTGACTGAGCGGCGTCGTGTCAGATAGACCGTGGCACTGAGTCACACGTCCCGTCTTTCCTCACGGTGACTCCACTACCTCCCCAAGCAATCCATTTCAGTATCTAAACGCCCTTTTCTGTCAAGACACTCTTCCTAATGTGAAGAAATCCTTCCTAATGAGAAACCGTATCCCTCAGTCGGGACAGCCTCGTCTTGTCAGTTTATACACGGAATACCCCGCAATACACATCTGAGCAACCGAGTCAAAAACTGCTGGATGATCTCACAGCTTCAGTGGGGGCTGCTGTCATGTTAAGAGCTTTTAGGGTGAGGGCTGTCAGAACTGCGGGGATGCTGTAGGAGATGCACAGCGAGGACAGGCACAGCCCGCAGCACTGCATGGAAGAGCAAGGCAGGCTGGAGGTGCGGGCTGTGAGAATCATAGAATCATAGAATAGATTGGGTTGGAAAAGACCTCCAAGATCATCAAGTCCAACCCCTGATCCAACTCCAATTACTATATCATGGCACTAAGGGCCACATCCAATCTCTGCTTAAAAACCTCCAGGGATGGTGAATCCACCACCTCTCTGGGTAGGCTGTTCCAATGCTTGATTACCCTCTCTGTAAAGAATTTCTTCCTAACATCTAACCTAAACCTCCCCT